TCCATTGTTGCAGACTTTTCAAGGCAGAACATCTCATCCGCTCTTCCCACTACTGCTTGCATTCCACACACAACGGTGGAGCACAGGCCACGCAAATTTAGAGAGCATAGCAATGCGATCACGGGAAGTTCTGTCTAAAGAATGCACCAAAACAAAAGCCCCGACTTCCTGCAGATAGAATTCTAAAGTACGAGTTCGAGACCACCGGCCTCTCCAAGCTACCCAGGCCAAGTCTTCCGTCTGATGATAAAGGTACGTGGCTCCGCTGCCGCGAAGCACACCTGGAGTAGCTCCGTGAGAGCTCTGTTTGACTGGAAGGCCCAGTCGCATCATCACAGCATTCCATTGCCTACGGAAAACACTCATGGACCCTGGATACAACTTCGCAGAAGGCTGCAACAGTCCATATAACTGCTCAAGGAGGGCGATGACTTCACGGTCATCCACTCGACTATGCTGCCGCCGGGCGAAACGTGCTGTCTTAGGGTCGCGCACTCGAACGTAAAGACTGGGGCTATCGAAGGAAACGTCGCTTGGAAAAATCAAATCTTTGCGACAGAGGGCTAAAAGTTCTGAAGGGTGTAACATAGCTGAAAACCCCAAAAGCAGCATGGCAGCCCAATTCAACCATCCCCATAAGGCAGCTACACACGCAGCTGCACGAATCACACTTGGGGGCAAAACAGCCCGGCATGCTCCGGGTTCGTGGATCTGCCATTTCCGATCAATCTGCCACGCTGGAGTCATCCAAGGCTTGGATTGGGGCCATCTGTCCTGAATGGCAGTGATGGCGTACACAAAATGATATCTTGGCATACCTGTTTGGAAACAAAACATTCCATATGCACGGAGAGCCATCACCAAAGCATGCACATCACTTGTCAGAACTGACCAATCAATTCGCAAATCATCCTCGCACCAGTCTTGAAACAGCTGAAGGCACTTGTCCATCCTTTGGGCAGTTGCGGGTGCGAAACCCACTTGCAAATCCAAAGGGCCGCGGGCATTGGGCCCGGGGTGAGGCTCAATATCACCAGCCAACAAAAGGAGGAATCTCAACCACCTCGCCGGATTCTTTTCAAACTTTGCTGAAGCACAAACTGCATCAAACAGTGTCGGATCGCCACGCTCCAACGCAAGAAACCAAGCAGGTTTTTCTCGAGAAGGGCCCCTAACTGAGCGATACCGAGTTGGGTCATCTGCTCGGTTGTCCTCAGAATAGCAGTGCAACAAACCTGGATAAAGACCTCCCCCTATGATATAGGCTACTGAACCCTTCAAGACCCTGGTCAAGGCATAGCTGCTGGACCTGCCCTTTGCAGCGGCGCCAATGGTGACGCGACTATCCAACATGCCTACAAACCTAGAATCAGGAGCGCTCTTAGCTAGGGATTTAATCCAGGATTTATAGGTGCGCATTTCATTCACATTTATGTGCCCTGGTCGTTTAAAGCGATACCTGAACTGCTCCCTAAAATGCAGAAATTCACAAAGTTCATGGTGCCACTCCGGATTTTCAAACCACTGCCTCTGGGGAAAACACGGTTCATGATTTTGAGGAATGGTCGGCGAATCAGCCAAACCCACTTCATACAAGGATCTAACTCGCGCGGCAACAGGCATGCTTTCCACGATGCCAGCTCGAGCAGCCAATGATCCACTGGCCATCTGATGCACCACGCGCAGAGGATACGAGGCTGAGAAGGCAGCCACTGAGGTTCCTGGCTCAGGCAGCTGACCATACACCACTTTTGCGGATGGTTGGCATCTAGAGTTAAAGTCTTTCACACTTTCCAGTGTAAAGCTACCTTGCACAGTGAAATGGGACTGCTCTTTTGGGCATTGACAGCTGCACTCTAAAGGGATTAACCATGGTTTATTGTGCAACAATTTTGAAGCCTTCTGAAAAGCGCTACCAAAACAACACCAAGCAACATGCGAAATGACGCATCCCAACCGCACCAAATTCTGAAAGCAATGAAGCAAAAACAAACATGAGTTTCGTGGTTGCTCCACACTGATGAACTGGCCGGTTTTTGCTGCAAGAGTCAAAATGAGAGCGGCCCGACGAGCTAACATATTATGGTTGGAAGTAAGGGCATCATCAGGATTGAAACCATAGGGCCTGGTTTTAGATCTTACTCGAGGTTGACACCAAGTTCCGAAACTAACACACGGCAATACTGCATGCCAGTCACGGACCACGCCGCGAGCAGCCAAACCCATGAGCTCAGCAAACACAGCTTTATCAGCCAGGTCGTCATACCGGAGTCTGCGGCCATCAATGTTGAAGCCGTCATGGCAGTGCAACCCTCTAGATTTGTGGACTAAGGTCCAGTTTCCAACACCTCTGAACAGTTCACAACAATCAAAGAGGATACCTTCCTTCAACTGCTGAGGAATGATTTTAGGGACCGATCTATGAGTGGAATCGTACGGATCATGAGCATACATTTCATCTGACTCCGCTGGGACTCCAAGCTCGGCTAAGACTGCAGCTGCAGGGTCTTTGAGTCTGGTGTAAAAACCTCGTTGTTCGCTGTGACGCCACAGTTCGGCTGTGGCTGCTGGCTCAATCGGGGCCTGGCATACTGCCCCCCATGTGGGGGAGGCATCGGTCATGTAGATCTTATTGCTATATGTGGTTCTCAGATCTGACTGTGCTGTGGAACCTAGAGCAGCGAGCAGCAACAACTCGTTTCTGGACTGTCTGCTCAAGCAGAACGGTTGATTGGTCGGCAAACCCTTACCCTGGCGAAACAAATCATCCACTATGGCAAAAAGGGCTCTCCGGAACAAAAGTACGTGCACCCAACAACCTAACATGACTGATAGAAGTTTTGGCGTGCAGGTGCCCCGCATTGCAATGACCACAGATAGCAGACTTAACACCAGAATGCGGTGCCTGGGCGCCATTACTCTACCAGCGACCCCATCGAAATCGGCCCCTAGAATGACCCCTTGGGTTTGGCCACGCTTCCGTTTCTTTTCATGCAACACTAATCCCACACGTTCATATGCGTTTGTGGCTTCACCAGAAACTTCAGTGTCCCGCAAAGCTGGATGTTCACGAAACATGGCAATGGGCAACCTCTGGATCCCTACATGATCGTCGATGGCAAGTAGCTCAACAAAATCGCTCCGGGGAATGGGACATCGATACTTCAGGACTTCGTGACTACGCATGGCGCTGCACAGAACCCTCAAAACGGTGGAATGAGCTGCCTGGGCAATTTCGACGGCTAGGTTGTCACCCATGGCCAAGGTTTTCAAACACAGAAGAAGGGGTTTACCTTCCAAGGACTGGTTAAAACAGCTGAAACCTCGAACATCATTGGCATGCAACTTTAACCGAAAAGCATTTCGATAAGCTCTAGCTTTGGAAACCCTGAAGGTGTAATAGTAATCCGAAAGATCATCTGCATTAAACCTGAACATGTCAGCGGGTTCCAAATGAAGCATGGTTAACAGGCATCCCGGGGCAAGCTCTTTGGTGGCGGAGGCAAGGGAATGCATGCGACTATTTATCACCTGGGGATTTACGATGAGCCGGTCGTTTTCTGCGTCTTTGGGAACACAAAATAATCCAACAGCTTCATCAAAGTCTTTCTCATCCGCAGGGATCAAACAACATGCCCCCAAATCATCCCACCTCCTGGCTAGCTTTAGGAATTCGGCTTTAGAGCAACGAACTTTAGCAGGTCGGCTTTTCGGCCAATCGGCTTTAGGTTTCCTCAGGACTTCGGGGTTTACAAAAGCTGACTTCAACAACGGGTCTTCTAAAAACTGTACTGCATCAAAGCTCGGCGGACATTTCCACTTCACGCGGTCTGATCTGACTGGCATCGCACCGGTGGGATTGTCAAGGGTTGCGGATGCCGGGAACGAGTCAAACCTACATTGATGACCAGGCTCGTCTGCTGCAACATTTGCCGTACTTTGACCACGATCACAATGTGATCGGTAAGGATCGAAAGTGGCTTCAACTTGCAACGCTAACTCGGTTAGGTCCTCAAACCCTAGCTTACACCAGGGTAGTTCCTGTATGGTTCTAATTACGCTCACAAACTTTTCCTTTGCCCTGCCCAGGTCATCACCGACAAAATCAGGCATGCGCATGAAATGGGCAACCAGTGACTCAAGTCGCTCAATCACTGTATGCTGCTGTGCGGAGATTGGTGCTCCTAGTTGAGCACACCCCGGAGGGCTTGCTGGAAAACCCAAAGACTCCCAATTTAAGCTACAGATCACAACATTCAAAAGCTGGTGCTGAGCATTCAGGAATCTGTGTCGGCGACGGCGCCTTGGGTTGAAGCGCTTGCAGCCCGTTCCTCGCCACCTCACGGGGGGGACAGGCCATAAAGGGGTCGAGGACACCCTATCAACATTTGCAGGCTTTGGGGAGTCACACAAACTCGCCCGTATGAATGCACCAAGGCCAGTGGGAGCTGACCGGATACCTCTACATATTTGCAATACTAATTCAACAGAACAAAAAACTCGGTCAGAAGGGGAATTCAGCTTTGGCAGACAAAAATCTTCAGAACTATGAACAGGTGAGCCACGATCGACGTGATCGCTTGGCTGGAAAGGCTCGGCAAAGTCAGCAGTTGCAGTGTCGGCACTGCTGAGCTGGCTCACTCTGCGGTTTCGCCCTCTTGGGCGGACTGTGCTTTCCCCTTCCCTTTGCCTTTGAGTCGAGGCTTTGGTTTGGGTCTGACCAAAACTTCCGAATCCTCTGACGCTTGACCTTTCGGGTTCTTGCCGATGCTGTTCATGCGACCCTCTATGTAGTCCAGATCCTTGAGGTATGCCAAGTTTCCTGACACCCACGCTGGACTGCTCAGCCTAGAGAACGGTTCGAGGCCAGGTCGTTTGCGATGAGAAACAAAGAGATGCATTGGCGGATCTTGAAGGCCTGTCAGCAACCAAGCTAGCTGAGATCGGCCTGAGTCCAGGGCGCATTGTTCCACAAAAATCATCATGCGACCCAGAGTGCCGAGCATCTGCTCGTTCCCCGCCTCGTAGCCGACTGCCCAACCTTCGCTGATCAGACAAGCAAATTGAGCCAGGAGGCGATGATCTGCGAGAGGTATCCGCCTCTCCATGTACTTTCTCATCAAGTTCCCATCTTCCCGGTCTGAGCTCAGACCTAGTTCTCTCAAAGCTGCACGGCGAACTACTCTGGAAACTTCTGGCAAGTCCTGAATGGCATGAATGAAGGCTTCCCGGGCCAGGCATCCCTTTACTCCTCCGCCAGAGCTGCCTCCTCCGCTGTCCGAGCCGCTTGACCCCAACACCCTCATCACTGGGTCTTGCGGCTTGTTGCCGATCAACTTTTGCAGCAGTAGTTGATTCTGGCGCAACTGCGCCAGGACCATCTGTTGCATTGGATCCAGAGAGCTCTCGTTCAACTGGCCTTCTAGAGGTTTGAGGGCTAGGCTCACCTCGTCTTCGACGGCCTCCTTCTCGAGGTCTGCGTACAAGTTCTCCTGCAACTTTTGAACTGCGGGTGGATCTGGGCGACGTCTTTCGACGCCAGCAACTCGAGGGGGCGGACTGCCCGCTAGGCTCTGCAACCTGGCCCAATCTTGAGGCGTCAGCTGACTTGACTGAGCCCCCTGAAACAAGCCGGGTGCCTTGGGGGCTGGAGCCCCACTTTGAGCTTTTGGCTCGCCCACAGAACGAAGAACACGAGGATTGGGCTGGTTTGCGTTCTGAAGAAGCCCTTCCAGCTGAATGATTCGAGCTTGCAGCTGGCTCACCACATCTGGCTCGGTCTGACCTGTGGGGGCTTCGGCCTGACCATCTGACTCCTCGCCCTCGGGCAACTCCTCCAAACTCAGGTACTCTTGAGCAGTGGCAGGATCCATCTCGTTGATCCAGGCTTCGGCTAAGGCATCTGAACTGGCTCGAGAAGGCCGACCGTTGGTGCCACGAAAGGAAAACCCGGTGACTTTGAACTGCGCCGCTAAACCTCCACGAAACTGCATGGCAGGGAAAAGCAGAGGTGCATAGGCCCATGGTAAGTCTACATGCCGAACTGGTCCAAGTTCTCTTCCTCTGGTGTTGACCAAGGTGACACTGCCTTGAAAGAAAACTGGGGGCTCGTCGACAACGTCTGCTGGCTGTAGGTCTAAAATGGCTTGATGAACTAGCTCTTCGGTAGGCACCACTAGCATAAAGCCATTCTCCCTCATCCGCACCAGCCCAGCCCAAAAGAGATTTGGATCTGGAAGTTCTGCTCCCTTTATTGGCACACGCACGCCAGGGATGGAGGTCCCAGCGTCGGAACCGGCAAGGTCTTTGAGAGACTCCACATTGAAAGCCGCCCTCACTGTCGGGGCTCTGGAGGCCATCCCGCCCGCGCTGCGTCACCCTTGGCTTGGCTGGCAAAGGCGTGAGGGGTGACTTCGTCGTGGGCGTGGAGGCACCGGCCCTCAATGAGCGAAGAGTCTGGTGCACTATGAGAAGGAATGAGCTGATCGGCTGATCTGGCACAAGGGTGCCTAGCTGCAATGGTCAATTCAAGGTTGGCTGATCGTACTCACTGGCCCCGTCGGTATTCAGCTATGCGGTCGCGACTGTCGGAGCCGCTATGCAAAGGGACAGGAATCCAAAAGTGGCAGGCCAGTTGAATCACTTGCAACACAAATCGTCTGACTCTCAAATTGAAAACCAGGGATCCTAGGACAAATCCGCAAATGCAAGTGCAGCACGAGAGAGCCACCAAAGCCAGACAGATGAACCCCCAGGGACAGGAGGGTGATCCTGAGAGCCAGAATCTGGCTTCACGGATGGCGTCCAGCCAAGGAACCATCCGCACCTTGACCCGTGAAAGGCTGCGGCCATGGTTCAATCGGATCACTGCACTCAGGGATAAAAAGTCATGTCCTTGTCATATGCGGGATAGCCAAGAAGTATTCCATAGACTCATCCTCTCCAACCACAGGGATGTTCACTCGATCATTCACCTTCTTAAACGTCTGGGTGTGTGCATGTTAAGGAGGACAAGGAAACACAGCAAGCCAAATGACTAATGATCAGCATAAATCAAGACAACCATAATACCTATTGAACAAGCAAGCAACATACAAAAAGCACCTTAAAGCTAAAGCACACCAACCGACGTCATGAGCTATAATGCTATACCAGAGCCGATCTGTGGGAGATCTTCAAACACCGATTCCCTTGGATGGTTTGATAGAAATCCAACGAATAACTCCACCAATCCTAACTTGGCTTCGGAACTCTCGGAACCCCCCGGTCTGCTGTCGTCATGGCCAGTCCATCAGTGTGACGAGCGACCCGGGGGGCAACCTACCCACAGCCTTCTCTCAAGTTCAAGGGACCGCGACGTGTTCTGGCTCCCAGGGGCGCGGGGTTCTTAGGAAAGGGAAATGGTTTGTTAAGATTTCATCAAGTAAGTATACAGTATAATACTACCTTCGGATGACATGGGATTTACCTACTATATTCCCTATGTCACTTGACGCCTTAACTTCTACAGTATGTAATCTGTACCTAATTAAAGCAACCAGGAACTTTCAGGAACTTCCTTCTTCCAACCAAGACACGTATTCCTCGTCTTCTAGGAGCTTGGCCATTGCAGGATGTGAGAGAAATCCTGGCTGCCGACCAGTCAGAGGGGGTACAAAATCAAGCACATGTATAATACATTCATGAGGGGGCTATATGCAAATATATCAGACTATAGGCTGTTAGACGATGTTCCACAAAAACACAGCCTAGTTGCTTTTAGACTATGTGTTTGACTATGTGGCCAGCAGCTTCTTGTTGAAAGCGCTTTCAAATTTCCACAAAAATCACAAAACGAACTGCTCTTGCAGGTTTCTAAACACGGCAGCCGACTTTGGCCAAGGCTCCTTCGCCCCAATGAAAGACTTGAGGATACCTGGGAAAGACTTGCATGTGGCCGCCTTTGAATCAGTCTCAACTCGATACTTCATATCACATTGGGAAGTGAAACGAGTCCCACCTGGACAGCGAAACGGGGCTCAGAGATGGTTTGAAGATTTCACGAAGAATCTGCAGAAGATTAGTTTTTGCTCTTGTATGGCAATGCCCTCAGTGTTGAGACATCACACCCGGAAGATTGTCATTCGAGATATTGATTTGTGTTTACACATCCCTTCTTTGCTGGGGCTTTCTTGGCCTGTTCGTGTTCATCATTCACGGCTAGAAAAAGGCATAGCCTGAAAATAGGACTCTTCCACAACTCTCGGTCTACCAAACATGGAACTTCTGCGCAATTCTCTCTGCACTGCTGCTTTTAGTCATCGAGCCACTTTTCTTGTGGGACAACCCATTACCATTGCACTTGTTCACCAAGGCCATGCAGCATGTGGGATTGCTTCCTCTGGGAAACACCCATTTGGAGGCGGGATACAACATAGACCCGTGGTGGTGGTTGTAGCAGTAGCAGTAGCAGCAGCAGCAGTTATGCTCGATCGCTAACCGGGGAACACGCTCGGCCCCGAACTTCAAACTTGAACACCATCCCGGCTGCATGTAGAGAACCCACCTCAAGCTTCAAGGCTTCAAACTACAGCCAGGATACTTCTCTGCTTAAGCGAGAACTTAACGCAACTCGCCCCACTCGCCCGGAATCTCGACTTACTCGCCACGGCACCATCCCTTGGGCTTGTAATCGATCCCGAAGCTCCGGCACTCGGACTCATTCAGCTCGTGAGATTCCAAACTGGGGTGATGTCGAGGCTGACGCCGACTGCAGAGAAATGTGAAAAGCATCCATCGTCTACAGGGCCTATAGGGTGAGTCTGTCAACACTTATCATCGGGCGGAAAAGAGGTGTTCCTCTCGAACAATGCATCTTGATATACTACTCCGCCCAGCCCTTGGCCAGAAAAAGGGTGTGCCATCGTCTTTGTGTTCCTCCTACAGGGCTTATAACCATAGTCTCGTAACCTTCATTCCTAAACCGACCCGTGTTTCGCGGACAACATGATGTTTGACCTACGCAAGTAGCCCAGCTTCAGGGGTTTTCTTGAACAAAGGCACCTGCTTCCACTGGGTGTTCTCTCGTCTCTCATCCAAAGGAGTCCAGCCAACCTCCACATGTTCGGTTGGAACACCTGAGCGTTTGATGAGCAGGTGCTGTCTTTTCGGGATGTGTTTGTTGCTTCCTTGCCGGAGTTTGACAGGGTGTGCTGGCTTTGGTGCATGCATGTGTTTGGTTCAGGCTGCTAAAGCTGGAGAGTTCAAAGACTCCAAAATCTTTATTGGGATCACTCGAAGTCTGAATGGACAGTCCGCAGGGTTGACCCCCCCAATTCACCCAGACTATATAATATGAAGGTCTTATACACCCAAACAAATGGTTAGTTACTGTCACTACATCTTACCTTTTGCTCTTTACTACATTGGGCATCTCTACTTTCATTTTCCCATGCAAAGGTTTTGAACCAGGAGACTCAGCCATCCAGCCTTCCCACATCGTCTCACGAGGATACTTGGTCCATCGCCGACTGTGATTCAGCAGCCAAGCACTATCTCGGCATAGCGCCTGCGAACTGGCAGAGTCAAGACAATCAAGTGGTTTTATACCTCGAGTCATCGGGTTTCATTCAGCAACCTTTTACCCTATACGGCTCCAGTCGTGCCTCCTCAGAAGGTATGACTGGACCCTCTTGGCACCCACCCCAGTCCCACCTTCGAAACGAAGGCCCGACTGGAGCCCCTTTCGGAGTAAGGTTGACACACGTCGACCGTCGCCGGAGCGTCAGTCCGGTTTACCACGGTCGCACCTCATGAAGTGCTTCTTCTCGACACGGAGGTGTCAGCTCCTGCGTCCGTCTTGGGATTTTCGAACATGAAGGATAAGGACAAAGAGTCCGTTCAAACCACGTAGCACGATGTAGTAGGTATTTCGGTGTTTCGTAGAGAATCACAAATCACATCGAAATTGGTTTATGACAGCATATGACAGCCTGTAGAGAAGTCCTTATAATCCTACCTACCTCAAAGTTTCGATGTTTCACATTGAGAAGCCTCGGGCACAATCAAGACACATCAGCGAATATATAGTTCACGGTGAGCCAATGCTCAATATTCAAGCCCTACTGGCCCAATTGGCCTGTGCCACCGAACGTTGAGGGACTTGCGCTAGGGATCAGCTTTGGATCCAAACTATGAACATCATGGTCTTCATCTGCAGAATATGAATGAAGTCTCCTCGAGACCAGTCGCTGACACGATCTGATTTGGGTCAAAACCCGTCACCGTAGTTGACCACAAATGAACAGATTCCTCTATAAGGGAGGTCAACCTACCATGGTTTGGTGGGGAGGTTTTGACTCGCCATTTCTGACCTTTAATGAAAACCATATGACCTTAATTGACCGTATACGATGCTTCTCCAATCTGTAGGTGTGAGTGAAAAACAGGGGACCGGGTTGACCACGGAAAATTAACAAAAGAGACTACCAGGCAGGTCTACCTTCCATGCTTTGCTGGCACGTTTTGACTTGTGCGAAACTCGGACCCTGCCCACTCTGCGGTGCGAAACGCACGATACCCAGTCCACGACTCCCGGGTCCAACCCCTGTCATCCTCGTTCTGACGCCACTGAGCCAGGCGCTCAGCGAAACGCTGCACCGCTGGCGCGGCGTTTCCCGTGGCACCGTCCGCGACGTCCGCGTGGCGCTCTGCGGCGTTCAAGGATGCACAGGAGACCTGCAAGGGATCAGATGGGTGAACATGATGTAAAGTACATTCAAGCGTTTACAATACATCTCTCTCTATATATATTTTGCATTTATATTGCAAGGACCTTCCAATGGGTGTCCAGTGGACTACCCTACACTACATACTTAGAGATCTCCGTTGGACACCCATTTATCTATATATACCCTGAAAAGGAGGGTCATGTGTCATGTGCATCCTTGAAACAATCGCAGGTCTCCTGTACCTGGGCTCGAAACAGTCTCTCTATGCATTCGAAGCATAGGGAGACTTCCCAAGCAAGTGGATTGAAACGTCTGTGTGTCGTTTTTGCCACGGGGATCAACTGGGTCGCTGCGGGGATCAACTGGGTCGCGAAAAATTACTCTATGACACAAACACTCTCCATTGGACTGGCAAGACCATACCTACGGCAGGAGTGGGTTCAGGGGTCATAGCTACAGTGGATATGCCATACGTGGACTGTCTGGCTGATGAATTAAACCCCACATGTCATGACTGGGTACACCGGGGGCGTCCCGTTGTGGTCTGGACACCATGCTCCGGCCATTCACCGGCGTCGTGGAAAAGCCCTCCACCGCCGTTCCATCTATTAATGAAAGCCTCTCGGAATCCTCATTGGTGGGATGGCCAGTTGGAATACATCAGAAGGACAGTTGCAATGTATATCATTTTTGTTCGCATCAGTTACACATACAACCGGGAATCGAAATCACATCAACTTTTTCTGCATCACGTCATTTCCCTTGGGTTCACATCATGGTCACATCAACTAGCCGTTTACTATGGGGGAGGCACATTTCCAACATCAATATACCATATCAATGTGGAAGATTAACATGGAGCATGAAAACCACTGGTTTGTGGAGAGCTCTAGTGACTCTAGTGTTCCACTACTAATAACTACTACATATGTTACGTTGCATTTTCTGGAGCATACAGAACGGGATGTGAGGCACAACCCTTGTGACACTACCCCTCCATGCCAAGCAGGGGGGTTCAAGGTATTTTCGTTGGATCAAAGGTGCTTGCCCATCCTTGTCAGTCCATCGCACAGCGTTGGGACATCACCCAGACTCCGGGCTTCAACTGGTCCCCGCCACAGATCCGGTCCGTTGGTCTGGGGATCTGTTCGAAGCGTTCGGGGAAGAAGTGGGCAGACTGCGAAGCGTTTTGTGCCGAACAAAGGGGAACCGGTTCGGGTGGGTGATCAGGCGTTCACTGGCCTATAGGCAGGGCCTATAGGCTATAGGTGTGATTGATCGGGGAGGCAACCCCCGTCCTCAAGTCTCCTTCAAGTGCTGACTGTTCATGATTGTGACTGACTTACATTATGAATTATGTCCTTTACAACAATCTGCTGCAATCAAACAGTTGAGGTATTGCGTATCGTAAAGTTACTATACAGCAACAATACTTGCGACCCTCCAAGACCTTCGGTCTGCAGTCATGGATGTCGGTCTGAGTCAGGCGTCTGTCCCAGGTGTGAGGCGTTCAACAACAGACTCTCCAGACAGTGAGGCGTTCGACTCGTCCAACTGTCTCCACTCGTCCTGCGACGAAGTCAAACCCACGACGAGCAAATAGTCACTTGAAAAAGACAATTGATTAGCCGATTGCACCATATATACCACTAAAAAAAACCATTGAGCCGCTTCCAACTGCAAGAAAACAGCCCACCACGCCTCCACTGAGCCGGCGTTCCGCGCGCGGAACCGCGCATGTCCGTGTCGCCAGTCTCTACCGAGGTATCCATCACTCGGTCTCAGCAACGAGGCCAAGAGCAGCAGACAAGTCCATGGCATTTTCGCATCGAACCGGTCTGTGAGTCTTCCAGATCAAGCATCGGTCAGCCGGCTGTTTTTTTTAGTCAGCCAGTCTGCCAGTGGCTCTTGCACTAGTGGGAGTGGTGCTGCTTGAGTATCTGGTGACTTTCTTCTGCTCACTATCATTGGATTGCATCATGGCCATGGGCCAACAAGCCTGTTGGACGTGGTCAATCTCCCCCAATGTTGCCGTTTCCATGCTTTCACTCCACTCTCGCCCAATCTTCGGAATATCACCCCATGCAACTGAAGCCGTCTGAAAGAACATGACATTTTACTTTTACATTTTTGCTCCGACAAAGTGATGAGATTTGGGCAAATAAGGCCGATACTTTGGCTCTTTTGGCTTCCCGCGACCAGAGCGGGGCCCATGTATTTGTTCCCTTTGGCTCAGGCTCCCCAGCAGCGGACGTGCGGAGAATATGTGGCCAACATGTAACCGACAGATTGACTTCATCTCAACACAGGAAGACTCCTTAATTACCCACTTCTGTAAGTTAGGGCCATCACCAAACAAACTACCAAACATCCTGACACACCTAAACCCAGCAATTAATTCATGTCTCTCTCCTACTGTGCGTTGATGCAAAACCTGCCAAGATGTATAGGCATGATCTTCGACCACTTCTTATGCTTCTTAGTCTTCGAACATACTAATGTGTCGGTCCGTGTGACCGTGTGGTTTCAGGGCATGGCATCTGGAGGTCTCTCCCTGAGCGATCTAGCTGGCCTGAGCGATCTTCTCGCCATTAAGCGGTTCATTGATCAAAAAAGTGATGGAGGCTTCAGATGCTGAAATCTTTCGATCAATTCACAAGCTGTTTGCGAACCGAAATATGATGGGACACGAAAAATACATCTTTACAGTCCACTGCATGGTCCAATGGGACTGAATGGAAGACCACCAACTCCTTCACAAACCAGCTAGCTAGCTTTGCTTGAAGAACAACAAAACTAGATTTTACAAAAATATAAAAACAAAAAATATATATATCAACATATATAATATATACAATATACTATATCCATATAATTCCATATATATATATATGAAGGGCTGTGGGTCAAAACTGGGGGACCTCTGCTTGAACAGGGAAAATGCATAGAATAGACTACAAAGGAGGTTCGGGGTGCCATGACCCACAGCATCCCACAGCTATATATATGTTTTAACTGAATGTATCTGATCTCCCGCTCGCCGGCTTTGCATCAAATCTCCACTGTCTCGGTGTCGACCCAAAAAAACCACGCGGATGCCTCGTCGGCGGAGGCACAAACAGAGGCCATCGTCGAGGCCATCTTCCGTAGCACCAACTGACGCGCATCGGTTGGTACCGCCACTGGTCGTGCGGGTCAAGCGTTGGGACCAGAGGGCGGGAAAACGAAGGGAAGGGAGTGTTTGGAACGGGTATCATCAAACCATGACCGAAAGCGAAGAAGTGTAGGGTTTTCCAGGTGGGTGTTTTCTTGTCCAAGAGAAGTACCGTTTCATAACAGACCTTGATGACTGGACTGGAATACCAAAACCTTGGCATGTTGGAGCTTCATCAAGGCTGTCGTCCTTCCTGGCATCCTTTTCTTCCCCAGCAAGGGCTCTTTGCCTCTTTGGTATGGCCACTTGATGGTTGTCAATCTCGCAGTTGCCTTCTGCTGCGATTGTGGCAAGACACAAGCAGAGCTTCATCAAGGCTGCTGCATGCGACTGCTCGCGCCGTGGATTGACAAGCCCCTCTGACTCTACAGCGCAATGCATATCATCTGGCACGTAATCACCGTCAATTAAATGGAGGCACCATGGAATTTCCTCCAAAGAATACTTTAGGATCTACATTTTCCAATCCAAAGCGATTCTGGTGAGGACGGAAAAAAAGAAAGTACAGGTTTAGGGTATTTCAGGATCGTCCTTTTCCAATACAAAACGATTCAATTCGACCTGATCAGGTCGGTCCAGTCATGGAGGCTGGTCAATCGAGATTCTCGTCGCGGGCTGGACACTGGCTCTCACACAGCGAGAAAAGCTCCGATATCTGAACTGGAAGGTGACATTGGGGTGGTGGTTTTTCACAGCAAAGCAGTTTATGCAAGAGGTGGTTGAAAAATGAATCCCTTGCCAAAGTGGTCCAACTGGGTGATTTACGCCATCTCTGCAGGTGATGCTGCCAACTTGAACTTCATGGGCATCAAAACACTTTGCCATATACAACACCCGTACATGTTCAAACACAAGGGGGTCGTTTTGTCGGTCCAAATTAATGCCAAACAGACTTGGGGAAAAATATCACCCATGGCGAATTTTGGTGGGTGAGTGCCTGACACAAATATCTGTGCAGTGGTTCACTGCACAAATATTTGTGGCACTAAATATCTGTCGATGTGAAGCCGCCCCGCGGCCTGATGTTCATGTCGGTTGACCAGCTCGCACCTGTGAGGAGCCAGCACCTTGTCCTCGAGTCGACCTTTCTGCTACACATGCAAAGCGAATTGAAAGCTCCAGCGGTGCCATTCAATCCTCATTCTCAAGACGAACACAAAAGATCTGTAGCATGCTGAAAGAAATTGATGAACATATGTATCATCATATTTCTTATATGTTCTTATACCTTTATGAAATATGAGTACATCAAGTCAAGTAAACATGAATACCAACAAATTGCGACTTCCATCTTCACACCTAGGAATCGACTCTCGCATGTCAATGCTAACCTTGACATGGGTGCTCACAGCCCGCTCTCCCAGTGCTTCACCACAAACACATCGTCTGTTTGGATACAATATCTGCGGAGATAGTTGAAGATGTTGAAGCCACAAATTGCCCAACAAACGGAAAACAAACAAAACAAAAACACATGCAACATCATGCAAACAATATCAACAAGAGTGTCTGTTCTTGTTGAAAGGCACCCGTTCACGTATTGTTTGTGTACAGAATTCCCTGCTCACACCAGGAGTCACTCGATTGCTCATCTGGCAGGACAGGGAAGCCAGCGCAAACTTTGGTGGTGCTTTTGTTTTTTGTGTATGTTTTTTTTTCCGGTGGACTAGCTAGCTGGCTACTTGGATGATCATTGTGTACAAGTCATCCACTCACAAAGCAAAACGAGCGATCCTCAACTGGGTCGCTGTGGCGTCTTCTCTTCCAAAGCATTTCTCGTGGCTTGCGTCTTCTCTTCTCTTCCACCCACCAAGTCTTCTCACTGGGTGTTCTTTCGTCTACCCTCAAGTTCCGACCGAAGATTCGACTCCGGGACAGCCCGGAGGGGCCCGGAGTCCAAGTAACAGGTGAGTTATATAGATGACATGAAGCTTGGTGATAGCTGAACCTGGCTGGCATGGGCCACTGCGTCTATCTGAGTCGATTGCATCCATGGGCTATGTCTTCAGAAACAGGATCTTGCTCAAGGCCTGATTCTCACCATGCCTCGCCGTTTGACCAACCAGTGGGTCCTCCAAATGGTATCACGTGCCCAAAGGAGCCCTATAAATCACAAAACCAAGTATATGAAACCATATGGGAGAGTCAAAGGGTTTAGGGTGGCATGCGAATAACGAAGCCATGTGCCATGTTTGTGTCGTCAACCTTCGTTTCGCCATGTGTCGTCTTCAGACAAAGCAACACGTTACATCATCTGAAATCAGTGCTAGACAAGTCCTTGACCCTCCCTTCGTGGTACAATGCAAGTCCCCGCAGCCACAGCACCACAGCGCCACGACTGTGCCGCCCCGACGGTGCCGCGCCCGCGCGATGATGGCGCTTCCGGGCCTACTGCTGCTTCTTCCGCAGGCGAGGTGGACGGATGGTCTTGGTTGGGGCCTTGGCATACGATATCCTGATTTCCAGTCACCTCCGATAGGTCCTTCGCCGAGGTCCATGTGGATCGACCGCTGGAGCAGGCTTTCGCTGTGTGGTTTCAACGAGCAAACACAACGAAAAATAGTAGTCAGTGGCAGTGGGCTCAATCATCCCAGTTTGAAAAATATCCGAAACCATCCAAAGCCAGCTAGCTGGAGTCCCAATTGTTGGACTGATTTGGATCCAGTCATGGCCATAACTTGGCCATAGCTGCATGTAGGCCACCTTAGCCAGACTATAGGGAGATCTTTGATGAAGGGGAGGCCATGTTCCCGATCTGCAAGTCACATTGCACATTGCTATCTCTACCTCGTGATCAAACGTCCAAAATACGCTTCACACGCCACGCCACGCCTGGCCACGCACCGAACGCGCCACGCGCGTGGCGTGCGTACGCCACGGCGATCCAAGGAGCTGGGAAGGGCACCTTCTCTCCTTCCACGAAGAGCATGGGCTTGAAGGTCTCGGGGACCATCGGATGCATCACGGGGCTGTTGCGATAGCCTGAAGACACGGAGGATCCCAACCAGATGTTTTCAGGTGAGTCCATCCGGGAATGAAGAAGTACTTGCAAACCACAATAGCTCATGTGAGCGTCTGCCAAAACGTACTGTGAAGTAGAGGACATGATTCAGCAAGGTTTTCGCTTCTGAAGGGGGGCCTATTGTTTGTGCAGGCTTTAGCCCCAATGTCAACGTAGGTTAACACCAAAAACATCTGCGGGGATATGGTTTTTGCATGTTTTTGCTTTTGAGGGGGGCCTATCGCTTTTGCAGGTTCAACATTCCTGAAATTAACGAGCTCTCCTTTTCATTGAATTAGACATTGCACGTTTTGGCGGTTGCTCATGTGTTAGATTGACAACAAGTTCGATGGGAAACCACATTGCATTTTTAAGTCAGGAGAAACCATGCATCTCGTGCAACATCAATCACTTGTCCAATCGGTTCAATAAAAAACAATCGTTCTTCTGTCATGTTCTTCCGATCCAGACCATGTAAATTCTCAAAGCACAAGCAATGCAGGCAGATTGCCTATGCAAAAACTCTGCACCCTGGCACCAGCTGGTTGGAACCAGCTGTTTCGAACACCGGTTTTGGAGGATCTGTGTGCCTTAACAAAAAGCTTGACTCCTGGGTCGACCCGAAACACTGCTCGC